TTACTTATTTTACAAAAACGTCAGCATTCATTCCTGCAAGTGTCTGATAGTTGGGATCGAACGTTCCTGAATAAAGAGGTTGAGAAAGAGAGACTAGACAAATGGTTCGACATGCTTCACATAATGCTTACCTGCCATGCCTCCAGCTCCAGGTTTGATCTGAGGTGGTGCTCCTCCCGCTGGCTGGAGCACCTCCCGGTGCACCACCTGCTGGAGCGTTCTTCTTATCGGCGCCAAACACATCACCCTGTACGTTAGCCAGTGTCTGGTAGTTTGGATCATAGGTGCCTGAAATATGAGCACTCAAAACCGTGGTTGGGACGCTTCTTCCAAGTTACTTGGAGACAAGCTGGACATCCACCTCCGGGATGCTGGTCTTTGCTCCGTTCAGGGTGAATGAAACCGCGGCAGCAGTAGCAAGCTACCATTTCTTCACCTTTTTTAGCATGCTCAAAGGTGCACGGGAACGGTACCTCGGAGTCCCAGTACCCAGATGCCGTCTCCTGGCCTCATATCTCACCAGCGCTGCGGCAACACGGCTAACAATAGCGAAAAGGACCACTTGTTTGAGCCCTCTCTTACTAGTTGTTATTTATCTGGTTTGTTCGCTGCGAACTTTTGGTATCCGCGCAAGGGCTGCAGTTTGAGGATAGGAGGGGTTGGGAGACAGCACCTAGGCCTCACTACCGTCCATTTCCGTTCCTGTCCACTGCAAAAAGGCGAAATGGCACGCTACTGCAGTACCATTTACTTGTGAGAGGGTATCGTTGGACGGTTAACGGCGTTAGCTTTTCTGCTGCTTTCCTCATAAGTGTTTCGTTTTTACCTTCAGCGCCTCGTGGTTCATATAGCCGTCATAACCATTATCTTGCCATTGTCCCTCCTGCCTTTGACTTTAGCCGAATCAGTTACCCATAGGTCCAACTCCATACAAGAAGATGTAGTCTTATTGACTAGAAGGCATCTTGATTGGTCTATGCGGGTGCTGTGGCTAAAATCTTGTTCGGACTAAAGGGATGTTGTCGCTGCTGTACATCTACGCAGTTGAGGGAAGTTTGCCTAAGTGTTTCAGCAGATAATCACGTTCTATCGGGTCGCCATCTGGCAACAGTCGTAGTGGCCGTTGGGCAGCTTGGGCCACCAGTATCGTTCAATCCTTTCCATTTCCTTCTGCTACACATGAAGAGCGATTTTAGTCGCCTCTAAGAAAGCCTCAGGACGACTCTCGAGCACATTGGTACACGACTAACGTTGCCAATCGCCGCACGAAAAGGACTCTTCAGAGCGGTCGGGTAGAAGCTAGGTTACAGCGGCGATCTGTATTCCCATGATCGGATAGAAGCTAGGTACAGCGGCGCATCTGTATCCCATGAGAGGGGCAGTCATTGCGGACCCAGCATCGCCGCGAAAGCTGTTTTGGAGGTCTCTGCCCACTCCTAATATTAGGATGTCCACAAAGTTCGTTGGCCATTCGTTTTTTCAGAGCTGGTAAAGATATCTCACCAAGTTGAACTTACCGGTCCATGATATAATTTCCATGCATACCCACTACCTTTCGCCAACGATCGGGTAGAGAGGCAACTCCATCCTCCCAAAAGCTGGCCGGCCGCGACTCGGCCCAGTCCTCGATCACGTCCTCGAGGTCGCGCTCGTTCTTCAGCTGTTTTCCGTCCAAGAAATTTTGCATGGACCGGAAGATGTGGTAATCGCATGGACTAATGTCCGGGCTATACGGTGGATGCGTGATCGTCTTGATGCCCTGTCCAGGACGGCCTGAGTATCTCTCGCTTTGTGGGGGCGCGCGTTGTCTCAGAGCAACCACGGATTTGCAAGTTTCTGGGACAAGGCGGCAGCTTTCACCTTGACCTCCTGCAATTCTTTAGAGAGGGTCTCTGCCGTCACTGTGGCATTGTTGGGTAGGATGCTGTAGTGGACGACGCCGTGGCGAGAGAACCAGAAACCTCGGCATATCTTCGATGCCATAGTTTTCATTGGTGAGGCGAGTCCACCATTTTGACATCCAGTTCTTAGAAGGGGTGTTATTACCAAACTGCTGACGCATCCTGGTCGTGGCCTGACGTCTGGAGATGCCCAGGTTGTAGTAGTCCAGCAAACATCGGCGGTGGTGGTGACTATCACTCATCTTCACTGCTTTATTGTGGGAAGAGCAGGAAAGGAAATTTAGAGCTAGCTAGAGCGTCAGAAGATAGCCCATCGCGAGTACTTTCAGTATTGCGAAATCTTTATGCAAAATCACAACGCGTTGCGTAACGCGACGCTGTTTACAAATGGCCAACGAACTTTGTGGACACCCTAATAATAAACGACTTCGTCAGACTTCAGTTTCATTTGGGTGTCATTAGGTTCCGAATCGAATTTCGAAAAGCGACGAGGCAGAAACTACCAAATTCTTTCCATGGTGTAGTCTAGTTCGCTGCGGGCGAAGGGGCCGGGTTGAGTTTGGCGCGGTGCCAAGCCCGTTCTTCCACCACTTACCAAAAGACTGGATCATCTTGGACCCCGTATCCTCGTTTTCTACCAATTGGAGGCTTCAACAAGTTGGGGAGCTGTTCACATAACCGCTTTTATCAGGTTTGGCGAGCAAGTTTTTGGCACGTTCTCATATGCACACGTCCCGCTTCACCGCGCAGTGAAATAGAGCATAACTAATAACGCGCGCCTGCTGAGCCACACAGTTACGACCACTATCTTTTGGATACAGATCGTGTACAAATGAAATTAGGGCTTCTGCAGGACCTCACGTAATGATAACTGAGACGGTGGTAAACTGTTTCGATTGTGCCCCTCCTCCCTCCCTCGCTCCCCCGCCCCTCCCCCCGCCTTCCCACACGAAAGATGTTTATAACGTTTTTCCTTGACATTAAGGGCATCTGCTGTTCATCTTATACCCATTTCAGAGTGAAAGCGCTGGTGAACCGGTTGCAGAGTGAAAGCAGCTCCAACCTTTTTTTCAGATGTTTTTTTTTGGATCAGCTTATGAGGAAAATGCTTATTAGCCGCTCACTTCTTGCTAAGCAGGTTTCTTTCAAAGCTTTTCAATAGACGCATGCGGTCTTGTTTTTGTCACTGACGCCACCTGGACAGTGACGCGTCGGACCCATTTTTTTGTACGATCCACAAAAAACGTCGGCTACGTCGTTGAAGCGACTCATGCGAACAAAGGCGAATGAAAAAAGACATGCAGCGCCACTTGATACTTACGCCCTAATTGCGGTGACCCGACGGATTTCCTAAGCGAAACGTGGCGGATATTGTAACTCCATAAAAGGAGACTTGGTGCAATATGATGACAGCATGGTCGTATATTTTTCCATTTTTGTATGTTCCAAAGAAAATTGTGAAAATGTAGTTCGTAACATCGCAATCTTCGGGACGTTGTGAGGGGGTGGGACGAGCCCGCCTCCGGCTGCTTCGCTTTGCCAGTGGTGATCGGCTGGTGATCGATTTAGGAAGAAAACAATCAGTGGAGTGGATGCCCCTCTTGGAACCATCCGACTGATTACAATGATACCAAAAGCATTCACCTGCTACTCCGCCCGCTGCTGGTGCAACTGGAGGACGAGGAGCGCCACCGGGAGGTTGAGCGGCGCCTGCTTTCTTGTCGGCTCCGAAGACATCTCCTTGGACGTTTGCCAAGGTCTGATAGTTCGGATCGTATGTGCCTGAAGTGACATGCTTCAGTTAAACGACTTTCAGCAGCTCAAAAGGACGTCAGCAGACCTGCTATTCCTCCTACTGCGGGAGCTTTCGGTGTTGGAGGTGGTGGAGCGCTGGGTTGTTTAGGACCCTTTTTAGAACCTACAACGAAATGACGTCAGAGAACTGTATCGGGAGCCAAGCATGGGAGAAACGCCAACCTCTGGATCCAGATCCGGAGCCTTGCTGTTTGTCCTAGAAAACAACAAGGGATATGGTTCTGGACAAAATGGGCACAGCGCATGGCTATGGGATTTCGACATTTCAAGGATTTTTGGTGCAAAACTGCGATTTAGACTGAGGATTTGGCTCAGGGGTAATGATCTATTCGAAGACAGACTCCCTTGGCGAAGGGATTTCGCTCAGGATAATTCCAGTTCTGCTTTGAGAGTCCTTTGTAATGCCCCCACCACGGACTTGCAGAAGCGCAGAAGTACATACCTTCTTTCCACAAAGATTTATCAAGTACGCAGCTGAGAAGTAGGCCACCATGGCGTTGAAGACGTACAATTGCCAACCTTCGACCATCTGCCACCGTTTCATAACTAGGAATGACCCAAAACCCACCGATTATCGCTTATGAACTTTGCGCCTTATCATTTAGCCTGGGCGCTGAGGTTAGTGTTCGGAATAGAATCAAGTAGTAAATATTTACTTTTGAGTTATTTTTTAGTACCCGACCATTCTCACAAACTGGTCGCCCCGACTGTAATTGCCACCTTGAGCCAGTGCTTCTTCCTTGCACAACTTGTTTCAGTTAAGTGGCCTTCGGAATAGCCTCCATTTATCCTCCTCGTAAGCTGAAAACGGGTTTATGAGAAAAAAAGTGCAAAGTTCTCATCTGTAATAATAATACTAGTCTCAGAGGGAGCCCTTTGGAAGCCCCTTCGAGGATTAACGCGTACGGTTCCTTGTTCCTTGTCAAGGAGGAGAAGGAGGAGTGAGCTTTTGAGACACGAGGTTTCAGCACCTACAGGCTTCGAACTTCGAGTTCTCGTGTAGGAACACCGTTCGCAAACGTGACGTTCTTTTTCAAAAAATCTCACAATTGATTACCACTCGCGCGGACCTAGATCCTAACCCCAGTTGAACTCCCATCCAAGCCAATCAAGCCTTCTACCCTCCGAGGACCGTAAACTGGTAAGAACACTGACTTGTACATCGGCTTTTTCCCCCAGCAAGTATTGTTAGGCCAAACATCCTTTTTTTCTGAGAAAGAAGGCCGTGTACAGCGATGTACCAAGTACTCAACACCCCCCCCTTGCTCTTTAAGATCAGATGTAGTTGATTTAAAAGCACATGTGATAATATTGGTAGCGCCACTTGAGCAAATAGGTCCTTCTCGATCATTGAATCCCACACTGAGATGTTGACTAGAAGCAATGAGGAGCGAACAATAGTTAACTAGCTCCGCCCACACAATCAACAAGGACTGGGACTTTTTCATTCCCAGGAATTTGTTAATGTCTGAGCCTACACTTTGCTCGTGGGCTTTTCATACTCTAGGAGAGATATGCATCCTCGACCAAGGATTCAGCATATCCAGCCTAAAAGCTATTGTAAAGCATACTTATTTCCAAAGGCACCGTCCGCAATAGGGAGCGTAGGTAATGGCGTTGAAATAAGCAATGGAAGTTGTCAAGTGACTCGGCTGTGAAAAAAATGGTAAAGGGAACGTCGAAAATGCCTCTGGCAGGATCCCTACAGCCCCAAAAGTTTTAGGGATAAAAGGCCAAGAGACAGCGTGATGCAGTCGGACTGAGCCCTATGATCCCACAAGAGACAGTAGAGCATCCATTTTAGGCCACTTCTTCGGTATAGCATTTCTTTCCGCTGGAAGACTGACTTTGAAGGCGGGGTCTGGAGGCGGAGTCACTGGAATAAGGGAGGTGTCACTGAAACGATTTTGCTCCTTAACTCTTTGCCTTACAAGTTTTCGTCGTCAAACTGGCACAGGGTTGTCCGGTGCGGTCCGTACTCCCCTTTTTCACACAGTCCTGCATTTTAATAGGTCGCGTACCGTTCGTATTAAAGACACATGGTACGCCATACACATTGAGGGTGTATGAGACTATCAGCCCCCCAGATGTCGATGTGTCGTGGTCCCCCCGCCCAAACATGCCCGGGAATGGAGATACAGGGCCGTGAAACACGCTAATTCTTCCATGCTCCGCCCACTGCCTTTTTACGGCGCAGATTCCCGCCGTTCATAACATCCGTCGTAAGCGCGCCTGTCGCGTGCGGCTCCTTGGCACTTTGCCAAGTCCTTTAATTGCGCTCTCAAATACAAGTAAAACGCAATTTCCTGATGCGGATAACATTGGAGGTGCTACAAAATAAGAGCAGAAGATGATGACGAGGGTCAGAACCTAAAAGCAACTGTGCCACTTCTGCAACATCCCTCGGAGGCCACGTATTTCCACGAAACATGAAAATAAAAACGGCATACTCGTTAGTTTAATACAAGCAAAACGCAATTTCCTGATGCGAATAAAATTTAAGGTGTTGCTCATGCTTCAAAATCCATGTACAAGGAGATGAAGATGACACAGGCTAGAAATGAAGCACAACGATGTAAATGTAAACAAAACAAAAATGAAAAAATCAAGGAAAGGCAAATTAGATAAACTGGCCTGTAAATTTCTACGATCCGGCGCCAAAGCCATAGAAATACTTAGAACAAACGAGTGGGACGCTTGGGCTGTTTTTATTTTCATGTTTTGTGGGAATGCGCGGCCCTTGATGGATACTGCAGATGCAGCCGAGTTGCTCTTGAGTTCTGCCCCTTGTCATCATCTTCTGCTCTTATTTTGTAGCACCTCCAATGTTATCCGCATCAGGAAATTGCGTTTTCCCTTTATTTGAGAGCGCG